TTCTGTATTTTTCCATCTCAAATATAAATGGGCAGTTACGATACCAAGTTTTTCTCACTCAGAACCAGATGCCAAAAAGCAGTGTCACTTAGCTGCAGGAGCAGCAAATCTGCTTATTTTAATGTGTTAAATGCTACCTACCATACCCTGTTATTCTTTAACAGCCTACAAAGGGGACAACCTTCCTCAAAAAGCAGCAAGGTATGCAAATTGCGTTGAAAACCACATTTTAAATAGCATGTGAAGTATAAAAAGTTGAATAGAGAATATTTCTGTCTTTCAAAGGTAAATTCAAAATCAGTTTTCTTTAGATGGATTGAATCACCCAAATACAACTGATTCTTTTATTCAGTGATTGAATACTTTACATACAAGGGTCTTAATTCTGGATTTTGTGGAATTAAAGGCAAAGGTAGTCTACAGAAATAGTGGCACAACTGAACGCTATGTGCTGACACAATCTGGATGTTTTAAAATTTTGACTTCATGGGAGAAGGATTGTCTCTTGAGAGGAATTTTAGTCATTAGTGGAATTCATATTGCAGCATATGAAATAATCTCTATGAGGGGAGTTATTTTGAATAGCAGCTTCATAATAGTTGTATCATTGCCAGTCTTAGTACAACTTTTGAAGTGCCTGCCTATATATGATGTAATTTGGGGGGATTTTGCAAACTAAGACATCGTTTTGATAGCTATTTTCTTCCTGATCTCATTGCTTTTGTGTTGATGTGACCTTGAGCAGCAACATGGGACATTTATCTAGTCCGTAATGTCAAGCACTGAACATCTCAGCCAATATAATGAATGTAATGCTAGCATATGTCGTGTAATGTTTGCCATAATTTCCAATATTCTTAAGGTGTTACTGTCAAAGTCAGCAACACTCAGTAATAGTACACACCCCATCCTGTTTCACAGTTACTTACACGTTGGTTTATTGTCACTTATGGCTGACTCTTTTTGGGTGGTGTGGGTTTGTATTCACTGTTAATCTCACTAGAGCCAGCAACAGAGTTACTACAAAGCAGGATATGACTTTGAAGTTAAAAGCATGAGCCAAAAAGAGCGCATCTCATTCCCCTAAACTGCTACTGCAACTCTGACACCTTTAAGTAAGCAAACCTGTGGTTTTTTTGAAATTGGCATGTAAACAGGTCTTTTATGGAACATAGTTTTAGGCCAAGTTTTAGAAAATCTTTCTAGCACTTTTGAACAAGAAAAAGGGTCACTGAATATATTTGGCATTGGTGGTCACTGAACACCTTTAGGTTTGTGACGATGGGGACTAGTTTGTAGCAGCACATTTTTTAATAATACTATCCTTTAGTATACAGCTTCAATAGATTTGTTGTGAGTTTTCTCCTTATTTCTTTTCTTTGGGAACCTAGCGCCATCCCTTTTCAATAACATTCCCCCAGACCTAGGTGCAGAACTGAATCTTAACTCCGGAGGTTTCACAGGCAACAGGTGCTCTCTCAGCTCTTTCCACTTTCTGTGTTGATGCATGGAGCAGAAGGCCTGTTTTACCTTAGCGGACTTTTCCAGCAAGACTCTAAGCAGTTGATGAGTCCAGACAGAAACTCAAAAGTCCTATTTATGCTAATACAATGGTTATTTGCTGCTTGCTGTCAATTTTCCACTTGTTATTGTTGTAGAGCAGGTAAAGAAAAGCTGTAGCCTCACTGGGGCTGGCAATACTCACACAGGCCAAGCTGTAAATAAAGGTTATAGCCTTCTTTGCTGGGCATTAAATAAGCAGATAAATTTCTCTTTGCTGTGGATTTATTCAAGGCAGATGTTTTTAGTGAGTTCTGGAAAGGTTAGGGAGGAACATAAAACCTGCTGCAGTTCTGGAATTGATCCATTAGGATCAAAACCCAGTAACCAGTGATTCGTTTAAGGGTCCCTGACACTTTTATGGCAAGACTATGTATTTCAGAGAGGGCTGGCTCAGTTTGAAACACATTCCAAACCCAAACCTGAAATAAATCCTTGCAACAGAGCAATTCTGTAAACTTCTGCTTTCCCATCATTTCATTTTGACAAAAAATGAAAGAAAAAAAATACAGATTTTGGGAAGGGAATGACTCAACCTTTTGAGAGGAAATGGCATGCTGATCGCCAGCATTTGTAATTTTCTGTGTGGCATTTCCTCAGTGTAGAGGTGTGGATGAACAAAATAATACAGACATAGCAAGCATAAAATGAACACACATGGAAGAAATGGAAGAATACTTAAGGTAGGCTCAGCCATGTGATACTGGAAGGGCATGTATAATGGTCTACCAGAGCTTCAGGGGTCAGCTAAAAATGGCCTTGTGTGGTCCAAGAGGGACTTAAGAATATGATAAAACAAAAAGAAAAATGGAAGGAAGGTGTTTCCTGTTGCTTCAACTCCAGTTGTTCCTTGGGATAAGTGATGGAAGGTTTATGCTTGGGAGCTTTGAAGCTGGGTTGAACAATATGTAGAAGAAAACACCAGAAGGAATGATTGTGAACTGGAAAAAATAGTGAATATATTAGGTGACGTGTAATTGATGACTTGTATTCACAGGCCAGAATCTCAACAGCTGTAAACAGATGTGGCTTGTGACTAGACTAATGTTAGTAAAGAGGTTGTGATGTAATGCACTGAAAAGGTGGTTCTTTCTTCACACCAGTTCAAGTGCTACTCTGTCATTTTACTGTATTGTGTTACTTGAAACAGCAGTTTCAAGTAAGGCCAAGTTGAGGCCATTTTGCCTCAACTATTTCATATTCAAGGAAACCTTCATATCCAGTGAAGCAAAAATGAGAGGTAGAAACTCCATTCTAATACATTCTCTGCCTTTGGGTAAGTCGCTTAATCTCTCTGTTGGTTTCTTAACCTAAAATGAAAAGATAGGTAGGAGGGCATTGACAAGGTAATAGTAAGAAACAGTTCTTTGGTACAAGTCACTTTCTGTAGCAGTGAGCACAGTATCAACTATCAAGAGTTACACTACTGTAAAAATCTCATATTGATGCTTCACAACTCCCTTTTTCTGAAAATGAGATGTGCTGAGAAAGATATTCCTGGGAGCCTGCCCTCTGCGTAAGCACTGAACCAATATGCTGGAGTAGTGTTAGGGGGTATGGTTGAGTGGGAGCTGCTGTTTTTCAGAAAGCACAGGAAAGAAAAGGCATGGCTGCAAAGAACTTTAGAAAGACGCTGTGGTATTTTTAAACAGCAATCAACTCCCTATTGTGCAAGATCCCACAAGGTATTCTTCATAGAACATGGCATTTACTTAGGTAAAGATAGACTCAGAAAGAACTTGAGAAGTTTGTACCACAAGTGGAAAGTTTCTCCAGGTTATTCAGCATATTCATACTCTTGGTAAACATTAATGTCCTCTCTCTATATGTTGAGTAATTAGTGCCAGGAGGAAGGGGTCGCCACATCACTGGCAAAATTAATTTGTCTGAACTGATACCTAAGGAATTGAAGGAAAGAGAAAAATTCCTGACAGCTGTAGGTTGAGCTCCAACAGATGAGAAACCCAGCTGGAGTGAGGTGGGGCTGGATTAAAAATGAAAGGTTTTGAAAGAAGAGAACCTAAGAATGGGTAAGGTTGGTTGGCCAAAGATTGTAATTTGGAAAATAAGTGCTGTGCCGTCAGAAGAAAGCAGAGCTGCAATGCGGATTGGAAACTGAGGAGAATGCTGGGAGGAATTTGCGCAAGCCACAACCGTGCCTTCTTCAAATAAGACAGATCATCAATATTTTGCCCACCTGGAGGTTGAAGGGACTTCCTGTTCAGTTGCCAAGATTTGATAACGTAGTTCAAAATGCAACATTGCTCCTTTCCCAATGAGCAAACACAGCCACAACTGTTACTCATCCCAGCTCATCTTGATCCACTCAGTTACTTCATGACATGTAGGCAAAGGATCAAAGAGTTGGAAGATGGAGAGCTAACATATCAGAATGGGGGAATAGGAAAGAAGGGGGAAATACTGTAATCAGGCGTTGTTATGATGACTGGGGAAGTGTGTGAACAGTTAACACATACCACAGCAACCTTCAGAGGATGGCATGTCTCACAAAGCAGAGGAAGAACCTTTGCCTGAGGAGTTAATTCTTTGGTGGAAACTGGTGTATGTCTGCTTTTCCCATTTTTTTCTGAAAGACACAGATATTCAGCAGGTTTCAACAGCTCAATTGAAATCAGTAACTCCGTTGTCAGTTATACAAACTGAGAATCTGCCTGCAAATCTGAAGTTATCATTAATGCCATAGCAGGCAAGGATATATTGATATGGTTGCTATTTAATGAGCACAGGACTTGTTCATTTGGTTGAAAACTCTTGTTTGGGCTGCCAGTAGACTGCAAAGCTCTTTAAGTTGAGCGGTGTGTTTGTGTGAATATGTCTAGGTCTTTATAGTCCCCCTACCACCATAACATGAGAATGACCCTTAATGGCAGTTTCTCAAATTGCAATTCCTTATCTTCTGCTTTTAAAGATCAAGACAAAATTGGTATGTGCCTGCATTTCTTGCCTGTATACTGTCAGGAGCTACTGTATCTCAGCACATTTGAAAATTAGATGGCTCCATATGGGTTTACAATAGAAGCCTAATCCTTGGCAACCACGCTAGAAATTCTTGGTCTAGATACCTTGCAATCTTGCATACTTAGAGGTATAGTAGCACTACTGCCCTTGAGTCTCTGAACAATGGGGACCAGGTGTCAGGGTTCTTCGTTGGCACCATCACTATGCTTCTACAGGTAAACCATTCTAGTGGGAAACTTTTCTGTGTAGGTATCTATCTGCTTGACTAGTTTTATGATTTTAACAGTTTGACTTACCCAAGAGTTTTTTCATTTCATTATGATCTGCCATTTGGCTTGCAAAGAGTATTTATTTGACAGCTCCTGTGTCAAGAACTTTCCACTGCATTGCTAAATGTCCAACATTTCTTCCTTTCATCTGTTATGTTTGCTTTCTTTCTTCACTCTCTCATATCTTTCCAGGTCAGAGGCTACCCCGAGCCTCAGATCACGTGGTACAGAAATGGGCATCCTGTCCCGGAGGGAGACCATTATGTCGTGGACCGCAGCATTCGGGGGATATTCAGCTTGGTAATCAAAGATGTACAGGAAGGTGATGGTGGTAAATACACCTGTGAAGCTGCAAATGATGGTGGGGTTCGTCAAGTGACTGTGGAACTGACAGTGGAAGGTAAGAGGATACTTACACTGTTGTTGCAATGATTATAGAGTTTAATTAGATGAACAAGCTGTGTTAAAATGTCTGCTTAAAATCACAACTGTACACACATGCTTTCTCACTGGTGCAAGAGTAAGATTCATTAGTTGCATTTCACAGTTTAACACATTTTGCAGGGAACTACATGTCTATAGCTAGATAAAGTGTGCGTTCAGTTTCAGATGTGTATGATGATGCCCAGGTAACAAAAGACCTAGCTTTAAAGACTGTGCTATAAACTTTGTAATTTTCATGGAAGCCACCACTCAGGACAGAAACAAAGGCCTGGAAAGTTAGCATTTTCTCTCAGGCAGTAAAAACGGTGGCGATCTTGGTTGCTTCACAGCCTATCAGATAGGCACACTGAGGCAGTGGGTTTCTGGAGTTCTCCATGCATGCTTCCATTTGCTAAGCTGAACGCCTGGTTGTAATTGTGTGCTTAATGTCACATGGGAAACAGCCAAGATCAAACCCAGGAATTTTCAAAGAGAACATCTGCATATTAGATAGTTGCAAACTGCCAAATCTAAAATGTAAAGAGTGACACAAAGCCAGGGAAGGATGGAAATCAATTGTACTGCTTTTCTCTTTGCAATTTGGTCATGTCAGAGATCTGTTGAATATCAAAGCTCCTCAGGACATAACTTTGTGTTGAATTCTTGAAGCAAAGCAAAAATCTGCAGCAGTCCTGAAACAATCAGCATTTGGGTTTATTCAGAGTCCAAATCTCTAACAGATATCCTCAGAGTACATACTGAAATATGCGTAGATCTGGCATGCTTGTTACTGCCTTCTGTTGTAAAAATTATCCAAAATCTCTTTTTTTTCCCTTAGTTTTAAGTTGTGACAACTTTTATGATTGACAACTTGCATGGAGGCGGAGGATTTTTTAAAGCGCTTTTTATATCAGTTTTTCTGACCTGGGCTTTGCTGCAGTTTAAAAACAGTTTCACGGCAGTACCCAAAGACTGAATGTCTCAGAGTGTAAGAATTACATGGTCTTTATTCTAAGAATCCATCTATGCATCAAGAGCTCAAAGCGCAGATTTTTTCTGTTCTCAGCAAAGATACCTACGTGGGGCTGACTGCTACTTGAAAAAATGAGTGACTGAAACACAATCTACTCTTTCCATCCTGCATGGCTGTCCTATCTGACAGTAATATAGATTCTCATAAGGTTCTAGAACAAATTTTTTTCACAGCCATCAGAGCTGTTTGTTTCATGCTGCCACTTTGGATCTACCCCAGGTCACTATCCTTTTTTCATGTGCCAAAGCTGCCAGGACTGCTGTGTGCAGTAGATGGCGCTGAGCTTACACGACTTTGTACGTACCTCGCTAACGCTCACACCGGCAAGCATAATGAACTACTGTGCTTCAAAAAGAATCGTTTGACAGAAAAAGTAGTCTGGGCTAGCACAGGACTAAAAAACAAACCAACTAAAGTAAGACCTCTTCCAGAGTCCAAAAACCTTTTTTTTGCTATCTTAATTTGAATTAGTGCTGCACTGTAGAATCATAGAATCATAGAATTGTTTAGGTTGGAAAAGACCTTTAAGATCATCCAGTCCAACCATTAACCTAACATTACCAAGACCACCACTAAACCAATTAAGGGTAGAATAGCGAAGAAGTTAGACACAGTGTTCATTCGCTTGTTTAAGAATATTTTTGCGTTAATATTCTGCAGTGTTGTTACTACTGAGTTTAGATGGTAACTCTGCTAAAACTTGTGTTTGAAATTGGAGTGCCTAACTTTGGACTACAGATGACATAACCTTATACTCCAGGTGTTGCATTCCTCCTTTATGTTTGAAACCTGGAGAAATGCATATTTTATATAGTCTTTAGTATCTGTAGTTCCCAATGGCCTTGATAAAACTTCTGCCTTCCTGTCTTTCTGTCCTATGCTTACAGGAAACTCCTTGAAGAAATACAGCCTGCCATCCAGTGCCAAAACCCCTGGGTAAGAAGTCCACTTTGATATTGTTTCATAGACACCTAAATATGTTTTGGTAGGAAAACAAGTAAAATGACTCTTTCTAAAGAATAACCACTTCGCCCTGTTTTAAGTGCCTCTTACATTTTGTCTTTAGCTCTGATTCATTTTCAGGGCCAGTCAGACAGGGTTGGATTCTTGCCCAGTTCTCAGTAATTTCTCACTGGAAACGTATCCCCAAGGCTCCTTACCTGTGCAAGAATCAGAGGGAATGGAGGAAAGCAAAGCCTGGTAGTTAATGACTCTGTTCTGTACAGCATTGCATTGGAATAGAGTAACTGCTTGGCATGATTTCTTACACTTGTCAGATGGGGGTAGCAAGAACGGCTGGGCTTTCAGAGGCAGGGCAGTGCCAGCTACAGCAGCTTCAATATTTGTGAACTCAAATGCTCTAAGTCCAAATCTCCATTTATCCCAAGCAGAATAGCTTCCATGAGAGCTGCTGTGTTAGTAAAATGGTTGAGGCTGTCAGGAGGACATAAGTAGCTTGAAACAGCTACAGCTCCCTCTTACTGACAGGAATTAATATGGCTGAAAACAGGACATTCTGCTGGTATCTTCAATATTGCACCCTCCTCTGCTGCAATGTTGCACCCTCTTGTCTCTGCTCTTTGATATTCAGAAATCCTTCCCCACATCTTTCATGACCTGACAGTCGCCTTATAAATCCAGAGCAAATACTGCTTTAAAAGAAATCATTAAGAAATAAAAGCAATTTGAAATCAACATTCTCTCACATATAATTTAAGTATTTCCAAGCAACACAGTGGGTAAACTGTAGTCCAAGAGAAAGAATTGTTTCGGTTTGGAGTAACGGTTAGCAAGAATGGTTTGAAGTAACTGTTAGCAAGAATGGGTTGATGGCGCGATCTACACTGGCACAGCGAAGAGCCTTCTTGCTGTCTTGTACTTTCTGCACTTCAGTAAGCATTTACAATTAAGTGAGTGCCACTGTTTTAAAAGCCCCAGGCCTAGCTATTCCAACAGCTAAATTAATTTTGTTATAAGTAGCTTGAATTTAAGCAGAATTATTTCTGATTTATATCCCTGGGACTGAGTTGCCCTGGATGTAGACAAAAATACATGTTTCTGATTATGTTAGTGATCAGAATACAGATAGTTAAAACTGAAGATTTTTACTTCATTAATGATGTGAATATTGTTTATGTATGTTTTGAATTTTGAAATTAACTGAGGTTACAAAGGTGAAAATAGTACATGAAACTGATAAATCAGGAAGGCTTTTACATGATAATGTCTGTATCACAAATGTGCTACAGAAATACACACATGCTAAATAATCAAAGCAAGAAACGACAGTCGAGGTTGATGTTGGGTTTTGTTGTACATTCAGACTTTCCAAAACACTATCCTAATTCATTGCATTGCATGGAGTTAGAGGGATTGTCCTCATTTTTCATTCTTACGTGTTTTACTCCTATTCAGTTTTAATAATCTTATGGTATAGAAAGTTTATGCCTTACATAAACAGGGAGGAGGGAAAAGAAAAAAAATACATTTCAGTTTGTGTATATCTAGGAAACAGCCATAAAGCTGCAGGCTAGCTAGTGGTTGATTTTCTTTTACTGCATTAGTGTATGTGTATAGATATATAAATATCGAAAAACCACCTAAAGATCATCACTAAAAGACTTCTTTAATACACATTTCTGCTCTTCTTTAGTGGTAGCATGAGGAAGATGACATTAAAAGCTATCAGGTATTTAATTATATGACAAAGTGTTTTCTATTTTAGCATATTACAGTCACACTTCTCTCCCAAGACTTTTTGCTGGTCCTCTTGTCCATGTAAATCCTTTCATTATGGTATTGTCTTTTACTTAGAAACCTCAAGCTGCCTATATGGCAAGCATCGTGTCTTGACAGCACCTTGGACTAAGGCGATGCAGTCTCTATTAGTATCTGACACCTGGTAGAAATGGTGAGGTACTTACACATCTTACTTGCATGTGGTAAAAGGCCATCTGGAAAAGAAAGTCTTGAAAATGGTTCTGTTTGCTTGAAATTAAAGGTTAAAAAAAAAAAAAGAAATCACCATCTGCCATCTGCTAATGTGTGTCTTTGTTGTACCAGGACTTCAGAGCAAAGAGTGTGAGTGTTCCCTTTGACATTAACAGACCTGAAGTTGCACCTTTTTCTTGCTATAATACTGCTTGATGTTTTATGTTTTATGGCTGTGTAACCGAGGGTTTTGGACCGCAGTCACTGATGTCACTCTAGTTTCATTCCACATGTTGTTTCCCAGCTGTGCCATCCATGTAAGTAGAGCTGGGCATTTACACTTAACAGACATTCACCCGGGATGGGTGTACTTCGGTTTTGTGCCCTTTTCATGTTTGCTTTGCAAACATTGTAGAGAATAAGAATCCAAACAGAGGCCTTCCCCAAACCAAAAATCTTTACTAGGACATGTCAGAAATGTTGCAAAACCAAGTTGCTGATCAGTGAGTCAGAAATTACTGTGTCATTGCACTCAATGTCAAAACAAATTACATGATAAAGAACTGTGAACAGTGAACAAGAATGCACAAATAATCTATTAGGAGGCAATTACGAAACAGAAAACAGGAAAAACTGAATGCATGCAGTGTTTCCTGTCATTTGGTTTGCCCAGCTCTGCTTATAAGCAACTGACATTGTCCCTAAGATCTGTTATGTGAGTTATATGTATGCTGGATGAGGGTGTGTAGCATCATACTATTCAGTTGCATAAGGAGTCAAGAGCAGTCATCACCAGCATTTCCATTTCTTCCAGTGGCCAAAAAACATATTGTGCAACTACAGTCCTGGTTACCACCAATTATATACCCTTGTTGGCAGACCGCTAGTCTGAAATACTTCCTGAAGTGTGCTCTAACCACAACAGCTTCCAGCTCTTCTGTAAAACCAGGATGTCAATTGCCTTTCCAGGGGAAGACTTACTGTTCCATCTGTGGAGCATAGGCCAAGCATCTGGGGAGAGAGTCCACCCAAGTTTGCTACAAAACCCAACAGAGTTGTTGTGCGTGAAGGCCAAACAGGCAAATTCTCATGTAAAATAACAGGACGACCTCAGCCTCAAGTAACTTGGTTTAAGGTATGATTTCCCAAAAAATTAATGTTTTCTTTCTCATTTGAAATTTTGTGACTCGAAATGATGAAATGCACTTGCCACTGCAAATTATCACAGTGAGAATTTACATACAAGGAGAGCCATATTCTTCCTCATTTTTATGCTGAATAAACTCACAAAAGATAATAGCATTCTTTCTCAGTTATCTCTTCTTTCTCCCTTATCTGTCTCATTGTTGAAAATATTTGTACAAAAAAATCATCTGAAAGCACCAAACAAGAGCCAGGTTCCATTATGAAAATAGCGAGTATGGGACATACTTGCCCAAAGACCTTACTAACTAAATACGAGAAACAGACAAAAGATGGGAAATGTGAATATTATCATCATCACTGTTTTATAGAGAAGGCCTGCAGGGATTTAATGCTTTGACTGTGGTTACAGAGGAGTCTCTGACAGCTGTGAAAATTACAGCTGTATTTCCCAAGTTCCTTGTCAGTGTCTCAGTCATAATCTGCCTTTTCTGTATCACTCACATTGGGTTTTACCTGTACATTAGAATGAAGATGATGTTTGCAAAGAAATGAAATTTAGTTGAAAATAAAATTAACTGTTTAGGAATTAACAGAAATGAGTGGGTTTTGGCCTGCAGGATTGTTTATTCCAAATTAAAAAAAAAAAAAATCCAAGTCAGATGAACAACAGTTCAACTGTTTCAGTCTGACCTCTACTAAAACAGTGGTAGCAGAAAAGTGTCTGACATAAAATAAAGGAGACTTGAGCTGTCAACTTCAGATCTGCATTAAAATTGGGAATTGTGAGCATCCGTCATTTACAAAGCTTGGTAAATGAGCAATATTTAAAATTCATTAGACTATTAAAAAAACTTTGAAGACTTAAGTCCTAGTGCCCCCTTTGGGCATACACAAGATCTCCGACCACTTTTTTTTGTTAGTAAGGAGAGAACATTCAGGTGATAATTAAATATTACACTAATTAGGCCATTTTTACTGGCACTATGTATTTTAGAGAATTACAATTACTTTCTTTAATTTGGAAGTGCAAATATATGACTGCTCTGTTGGTATCCAGCTCCCCTTCAGCCTTTAACAGACAGTTGCCTTATGTATAGTAAAAAAAAAAAAAAAAAGCTTTCCTCAGAGCTTTTATTTTCTTCTGGTGTCTCCAGGTTTTCAGGGGCGGGGAGGGGGAAGAAACCACAAAAAAACCCAGAAAACTGCTCGTAGAGCAGGGAAATGCTTCCAAGTCATTGTCTGCTTTATTCCAGACTTATCCTTGTTGTCTGTAATACAAGAATGCATGTCAGAATCTCAAGTACATCTCAGAAAACAAGCAGTCTCTTGCTGTGGAAGCACTCACTAAGACATCTCCTTCAGTTGGCGGCTCCATCTAGAGTCTGCTTCTCCATCCAGCTGCTGTCAGTTCTTTTGGGCCTGCTGGCTCTCTAGGCAGTCTGCGATGCAGCTGCTCCACAACAGCCTGCTTCCAGTCCCACCAGACTCGCTAAGGTTTTCCAGCCATGCAACTCAGTGCAAAACAGGATTTGTCATTCAGTTCTCTTTGTTCAGGGCTGCATGGTGAACAGCAAGTAGAGACTAGCAATCCAGCAACTTGGATCTACACTTGAGTACTTCTTCATACATGTTTTTGCAGTTTGTTAGTGGTCATGTTATATATTTTGCTTTTGATTGTCAGCTTCCATAATGTGTTATTCTATAATCTGGCATTCATTGTCTGATCAAATGAATGAAGTATGCAAAGTTTGTTATTAGCAGCTCCATGAGTTCTGTTCATGTTTATGTCCTTAAAAGACATATTTCAACACTTTCAAGTCTGCATATATTATTCTGTAAAATACCACAGGTGTGTTTTTCAGAGGTCCAGTAGTCATACCATCGCCGGCCTGCAGACACCCAGTCCGCTCTCTTGAATTTATCCTCAATCCATCATTTTTGGTTTAATTGGTTTTCTTTAGGCTTTCATAATATTATTTTAGTACCTATTTTGAGCACTGTGAAGCTGTCTTTCAATAATTCATATGCTCTGCAAAGTGCAAATGTGTTGTTGCTCTTTATCAGAGTTTTATTGGCAGGTTGTTGTTGTGGAGCATGTTTTTGCATCCCTATTCATAAGGTATGGATTAACAGGTAATCACGCATATGCTTTGGCTAGCTGCAAACAAGCTCAGGCCCACAATGCT